GTTCAAACCAGACAAAAATCCCAGCACTGAAAAGGGAAAGTAGACTTAAAGTACCATGCTTAACCAAGGAGCTATTTGCAATTCAAACCTGTTGGGAATAGGAATTCTCCAATGGAGTATAACTAGATACATCTACCACACCAGGGCAGGCCTCATGCCCAAGAGTAATTGGCCAACACGCCAAGAGGAGTGGTTTTGTGCTGTTTTTGTTTGTTATCAGCATCTTTTTCTCTTACTGATTTTATTTCAGTTTGTTTTGAGTTTTGGCTTTTGATGCTTTGTTGGTTTTCTCCTGGTTTTGTTTTGTTTTTGTTTTGTTTTGTTTTGTTTTGTTTTGTTTTGTTTTGTTTCGTTGAAAGAGAGAAAGAATGTGAAGCTGGATGAGTAAGGAGGTTGTGATCTGGGAGGAATTGACAGAGGGGATTTTTTTTCATGCATTGTATGAACAAATTATATAATGAATAAATAAACAACAAGTGGATATAACCAGTAAATGGATTTGATAGCACGTCCATCCTGAGGGGCTGCTGAGGTACTTGCTGCTAACTGAAGTTCCTCAATTTGGAGTTTTTCATGAAAGTCGTGCCCATGTCTGATGCCTTTGCATAGGTGTCACCATAGATCATCCTAGAGAGTAAGTACCTTCTGGAACTATGTACTTCAAAATATCCTCTGAGTTAATATTTGAGATGTGCTACTTAGACTTTTATTTAGAATGTGTAACTTCTCCAAGCTGCTACTCCCTATATGGAATCAGGACAACAATAGATTTGTCACCTCTAAAGGAACACAAGCCTTAATAAGCATGATGAATTAAAATGATCACTTATAGATATACAAAAATGTCCAGTACCCAACAGTGTGATTTACTCAGCATATAGCACTGGTCAACAACAACAACAACAAAATCACGAGGTGCCAGGTGCTGTGGCCAGTGCCTTTAATCCCAGCACTCAGGAGGCAGAAGCAGGGAAATCTCTTTGAGTCTCAGGCGAGTCTAGTCTACATAGTTTCAGGACAGCCAGAGATATGTAAAGAAGACTGTGTCTCAAAACAAAACAAAACCAAAAATCGCAAAATTTTGCTTCTATGCAAGAAATAAGAAAATATATCCTTTAATAAAATTTGAACAAAATTGACCCCAAACTAAAGGTGTACCCCCAGGCCCTACCCTTCAGGATGCACCAAACAGGCTCTATCCTGAAGACTCACAGCTAGTATCAACCTCAGCCTCAGTAAAGTGACTGGAATGGACAGAGGTCTGGGTACCTCTATCTTCCTGCTGTGCCTCGATCCTCCACAACCCTCCTTTGGTACAGGGAGGGAGCTGTGACCACCAGTGGCGCCATCTTGCTTTGCTCTTGTGTTTCCCTTTCTCACTCCCAAGAGTCGTCGACAGCCCTGTGATCTCGTTTGCTTTCATGATCATTTCCATTGATCATGGAAACCAATTCTTAACCACTTTGAGAATCAACTCAAAGCTGGGCCATTCTGACTTCAAGAGAATGTCATACAAGGAATTTGCTACTTCCAGTTAACACCAGACCAGTAGACTTAGGGTCTGGGGAAAAGTTTACTGATCTTTGTTGCTCTTGATTCATAAATATCTCCACTTCTCCAAGCTCTGAAATGGTGATTCAAGTCATCTGTCTGCTCTTTCTCAGACTGTTGGCATCTTCAATAAATTCTTCGCTCCTCAACCACTTATTTCTTAGAAAGCCATTTTCCATGTGATGATCTTGCAAACCCAAGTTCATTATTATCCTATGGCTCATCTGTGCATTTCAGATCCTACTAATGTGCCTCACTCTCCAAAGAGTTCCTAATTACACCTGCTAGCTGCCCGAGCTCCTCTGAATTGATCTCTATCTTTCCAGATTTCTGGGTAAAATACCTTCATATTTGGAGCAAAATTCTATCAATCTGTAAAGAAAATCTCCAACAATTATGCTCGTAGGGACTGTATGGCCCTTGCTATGAAGTGGTACTGTCCAGGGCCACAACCAACAGCAACGACTTAGAAGGCACAGACTGATGGTTTCCCACTTGACTTTTCCTTAGAGATTTGCAGGGTCTGGTAACCAAGGCTTTTGGAAGAAGTTGGAACAAGTGACTCCACCCTGTAATGAGGCAGCTGCCTGGACAAGGACTGCTCAGCATTGTCCACAAACTGATGATGACATATGACTGGCTGCAAGGTAGTGGGAAGAAAAAAAAAACATGCAGGGTTGATTCCATCAAGGACTGAACACAAGTCACTGATGTCCGAAGAGGGCTGAGTCTTCAGTGGTGTGCTATCACGTTCCATCATACAGATTGGAGCATCTGATGGACCTAATATGCATGCTGGACCACAGCGTCATGCTTTTATTTCTGTCTGGGACATGTGGAAGGAATACTTCTGTAATCCTGTCAAATGCTAAAGGTGTCTGTACAACCCCTACAGCAAGCTCTTCCTCAGAAATCTCACTTCACTAGAAAGCCCTTCTGATCCATGCTATCTGTACTCATGCATTCTTTCTCTCCAAAGTCAGCATCCAGAGGAACCCCAACTGCAGGAAGTTTCCAGGAAGGAAACTGCACCCCTGAAATGGTGAGAGTGTTTACCAAGAAGAGGAGAGGGAAGCCTAGAGGGCTTGTCAACACTCCTGGCACAGCTGGGATATGGCTGTGCTCAGACACCCTATTTATAAGTGCTTATGTGTGCATACAAAACATACTTCCCAGGAAGTATGGTGCCTACAGGCATCTCTATCCCTTCCACTGGCCAGAGACAATGATGCCTCCCTGTATAAATGGGATTTCAGTTCCCACATGAACTGAAATCCAACATCCGACATCCACTATGAAAAGATTCCTTCACATTCCACAGTTTCTATCCTGTAGCCCAGGCTCTTTTCTAGTCAGGTCATTTGTGTATGGCATGAACGAGAGAGAACTGCAAATATCCTGTGGGGGACTTGTTTGTGCTGTGCTGAGGTCTAGGTCTCCATGTCTATTGGAAGAGATTCCCTCTTCACCTTCCCTCCTTCCTGCCTCTGTTCTGATTCTCTTTCTGCCTCTTTCCTGCCTCCTTTGCCTTCAAGCTGGTGCCAGTCTGGCTTGCACTAGGCAGAGCTGCTCAGAACTGACATCAGCATCCCTCTAGGAAGTGAGGGAGGGTGAGAACTTAAGATCAGACTATACACTGGTTGGCAGGAAGGACTCTCCCCAATGGACCTGCTCCTGGCCCATAACCCTGTCCCTTTCCCTGGGCCAGACCTAAGCACAAACTCTTGCTTCCTCCCATCAGAGGCCAGGAAATAGCTCAGGCCCAGGCAAGTTGTTCTTTATTCCTTTTGTTTGTTTATCTTCTTTGTGCATTCTTGCCAGTGTTTTGATGATGCAATTATCATCAATCAACTCAGAGCATCTTTGTTACATTAGAGAGCAGCAGGCAAGTGTTGGTAACATAATGGTGAGTATAGCTGCCTTCCAAGACAGCAGCAGGCTGGTCAGTCTGGGAATATAGAAAGAATTAAACAGACGCTAGGCCTAGCTAAGCCAGGAACCTTCTGCTAACCCCGTTGAGCAGCTTCAAAATTTACACGAAGAAAAACCTAACTAATTTCTCTGGCTGAGCTCAACAATTAGACTGAGCCCCAAAGCGGCACTCTATGTAAGTACTTTTGACTGTCTAAAACGAGTTTATAGAGAGATTTAGATCGCTGATTTTGTGTTCTAGGATACTAATCAGACTTTATTTCCTAAATGAATCTCCCGATGTATTCTAAAATCAAAGTCCTGGCTTCTTCTAACGATACCACAGTTTGCTTTTCAACAAAGAAGAACGTTTTTGTTTGGTTAGCTGATGTTTTTTTGGGGGGAGTTGCTTTGTTTTGTTTTAAAACCGAAAGAACCGTGAGATTTGGGGAAAAGCATTACCAGGAGCTAGGGACTCTATTTGGCCTCAGATCCACCCTTCCTTAACTGGCCGTTTTTTGTTTTTGTTTTGTTTTGTTTTGTTTTTTCCAAGCGCCTTCAAGAGGTTCCCACACTGCTTGGCTGGTCAGGGGAAGACTATATCACCAGAGATAATCTCTGGCAACCTTTCCTGAATCTGCATCAGCGATTCGCCGGGCAAATACAGGGCACCAGAAGACACTGCACCCAGCATCCAGTTGTTGACTCTCAGCTTTGAGCAGCCTGAGGTGCCTGCATCATGAGGTAGTATCCTAACTTCTCCTAAGGCTCGTAAGAGGTCTTTGGCCTCCCCGCTCGCGACTCATGACGCGACTTGCTAGCGGGTTCCTGGCCCAAGCTGGGACGCAAGTTCAGCCCTCAAAGTTGCCAATGGCCTAGAAAATGTTTGGAAGCTCCAGGAGCCCAAAGAGAGACCAAAGCGAAACTAAAGAGGCCACAACTCGACCTTAAGAGATCAGTAGCATAGACGTGTTGGTCCCATTCAAACCCTAGGGTGCAGACTAAAAGACGCGCCAGCCAGGAACGCAGCAAGAACAGCCAATGAGCCTCATTTAAAAATCACTGTAGTAGGCTCGAGCCCGTACCTGCGCTCTGCCTAAGCGCTGAGGCTCGCTGTTCCAGCAAGATCAAAAACTGATGCCTGGACGTGGCTTCCTCATGTGCACTCGCTCGTAGTCCATTCCTCCACCCCAGAAGGCTGAGGCTATTTCTTTACCCAAGACTGAGAGCCCCTCAACCTTTCCCGCTGGAGGAGCTCGATAAGCGCTCTCACAGACGGCAGACGATCCCGAAAGCCGTACGTGGGCATGACAATGCTATCCTAGGTCTGGGGCACACAGTTCCCAGGCAGAGGCCCCGCCCCTCTTTGTCCGTCCCGCCCCCAAAAGCACTGAGTCCAACCCGCACTGAGGCCCGCACATCGGCTGAAACAACCATTGGGTAGCGGTTCATGAAAGCGGTGCCACCTTTTTATAGGGTGCGGAGGGGCCCGAGAGCTACTGAACCCAGGGTCCTGGCAAAATAAACCGCTACTGGGTCCCACGCGTTCCAGCCGGGCGGCTAGCCCCGCACCCGCCATCCCATGCATGGCCCGGGCGACATTCGACATGAACGCGGCGGGGCTCGAAGCTCGCGGCGGGGTCCACATAGAGCACGGACCACTCCCCTTCAGCGTCGAGTCACTGCTGGAGGCTGAGAGCGTACGGGGCTCCGAGTCTGGGGAGCTGGGGGAGGAGAGGCCGCTCGGCGCCTCGAAGCCTGGAGCCTGGTCCCCACCGGTCGTGCACTCGTGCCCCCCACGTAAGTGCTCAGTCTCCGGGACCCAGGCCCTGAAAACCGACTGTGCTGTCAAGGCTCGAAAGTCCAAGGTGTGGGGGGGGGGGTATGCGCACTGTTGCTCCGAACTTAATTACTAGCCACTAACCGGCTCTGTCCAAGAGCAAAGATAACTGGCGGTGGGAGCCCAACATTGTGCACAAGCCCAATAGCCAGGTCCAGGTCTCTTCTTGGACGAGGTCCGCAGTCCATAACAAACACCCTTAATGCTTTTCCGCTCCCGGTCGCTCATGCTCCTGCATTCCTTGTCCAGTTTGCGTATGCCCGCGACAGCTAACTGGTCTGTTTGGAGCCCTGACCACTACTCATCCTCGCTACCCACCCTCGGTTATTGTACCGCCTCCAGACCCAGTTTAACTCTTTCCAAATAGCCAGTCCCTAGTCTAATTGGGGTGCAAGAACACGGGTTGGGAGAGGAGACCTAAGTCTAGGGCGCCCCCTCCACTTCTCTGCCTCCTTGGTTTGCTTATCCACGTGGCTTTGGGGACCTCGTTACTCTGAGCGGAGCAGTCACGGAGCCACGGAGCACCAACCTTCCTTTGTAAGGGTGGAAGAAGGTCGGTCGAAATAGGGATGTGCGGCCAGAGTTTGAGCGCTCGGCCCTCGTGCTTCTCTTTCCTTTCAGGTGCCCCCAGCCCTCCACCCTGCACCCTCCGCAAACACAAAACCAATCGCAAACCACGGACGCCCTTCACCACCGCGCAGCTGCTGGCGCTTGAGCGCAAGTTTCACCAGAAGCAATACTTGTCCATTGCGGAGCGCGCCGAGTTCTCCAGCAGCTTGAGCCTCACTGAGACTCAGGTCAAGATCTGGTTTCAGAACCGCCGAGCCAAGGCCAAGCGGCTGCAGGAGGCTGAGATGGAGAAGCTGAAGCTGGCAGCCAAGCCACTACTGCCAGCGTTTGCCCTGCCCTTCCCACTGGGCACCCAGCTGCACAGCTCCGCGGCTACTTTCGGCGGCAACGCGGTTCCTGGGATCCTCGCAGGGCCTGTCGCGGCTTATGGCATGTACTACTTGTCTTAGACCGTGGAACCAAGTCCTAACCCCTTGGTTAGGCTCAGGGCTGCGCCACAGTTCCGCCCGCCGCTGATGCTCCTGGTAACTTCTGACCTTTCATTTTAGTTTTTTGTTTTTGGGTTTTTTTTTCTTGTTTATACGATGTTATACTTGATGACTGGAGCCTATTTATAGACATCTTACAAATATTTTAAACCTTCCTAAAACCATGTCCACACCAGTCTGTTTTCTGAAAGAAAACACAACCTCATACAGTTCTTGAAACAGACAAAAGCAGATCTTCCTATTTCATACAAAGCAGTCGACAGAGTACTTCTGGGTTGAGTGTGCTCCCTGTATTCACTCTGCCCCTACACCGAGGACTTCTGAGAGGCTCGATTGAGATGGCATAAGAAAACAAATTCCATAAGAAGAAGTTAAAATAAAAATAAGATAATCGGACCGCTAGGAAGACACTTTAGAAATTACTATCTCTCCAGGTAAATGTATGTTGTGAGATCAAATGGAAACTTTTACACATTTTAGGTTTTACCCCATTATTATTTTTTAGAGTATATGTCGTTCAAGGAGCTAGAGGCAAATGCTGAATGGACAGGGGAGTAGGGGAGGTGATATACTGCTGGCGCCACTCCCCAAAGTAAGGGTGGCTGCCGGGCAACGTCTTCTGAGCTTCGAAAAGAGCCTGCTGGGGAGGCCTGAGGGCTGAAGGCAGCAGGGACCAAACTCTAGCTTCTTGCCAGCAGGTGGCCAGTCAATAAAGAGAAGAAAGTGAGGGTTGAGTGTCTCAGACCTCCGTTGTTGGTGCAGTAGTAGCCTGATGCACCTTAGAAAAACGGTGGACTTGTTTAGGAATCCGGACTTGTACCTTTATTCTACCTTTATTCGAGGAAACCAAACAGACCATCTGAACTATTCTGTCCCGTTGCCCCTGATGGATTCTCAATCCTATCATGCAAGATTGAGGCCCTTTGGGTACCTGACAATGGGCACTGATAAAACCTGTGGCTGTTTCCACAGTAAGCTTTTGCTACAATCTGGAGACTTTAGCTGGGATTTGTTGAGGGTTCACAAAGTTCACCTGGAGTCTCACCCCAGTACCATTGACAAGCCCCTTCTTTCAGCCTTCAAGCTGGAGAGGGAGAACCTGCCTGCAGAGGTCTGCTGATTGTGTGTTCATGAGGACCAGGAATTTCACACTGATGGATGGCCCTGGGTTAGGATGTTCTGGTTGGGAGGAAGGGAAAGACTGGGCTATGCTCAGCAGTCCAAGCTAACTCCAGGAAAACTGCTGTCCCGTGACCTTCACTGGTCCTTCTGCTCCGAATAAAGCAGAAAAGAGAATATTGCATGGAATTGCCTACTGATATGATTCTCCTTCCCTATGTCTCTTGGAAAAATATAAACTAGATAGGTTTTGTTTTGTTTTGAGACAAAAATCTTTACTACATAGCCCTAACTGACCCAGGACTTGCTATTCTCCAAGGATGGCCTTAGACTCAGAAAGGTCCACTTGCCTTTGCCTCCCAAGTGCTGGGATTAAAGACATACTACAATGCCCAGCTATATGATTTTTTTTAAGTTAAATAACTCAGTTTTAGAAGTGTCAGATGCAGAGAGAGAAGGATAACTGCAAGGGAGTGTAGCTGTCTCCCTCAGGTGCTTGTACAAAAGCTCTCTGCCTAGGCTGTTTAAACTTCAACCCACGCCTACTGCCACTCTCAAGAGGTCAGGCCCCTCGCTTGGTGCGCAAATACTGAAGTGCAGAGGACTCAGTACTTGGGTCCTGAGATCCCACCCACCAAGTCTGCTTCTTGTATGTTCTGGTTGACCTAGAACTACTTGTGTAGTCCAGGTTAGCTCCAGACTGAAAGCAATTCTCTTATCTCAGTTGGCTGGGTCCTAGGATTACAGACATGAGCCGCCATACTCAGTCAAGCTGCTGCCTCTTAAATCTCAGCATTGCTTTAGTTCTGCTCTCAACTGTGAGGTACCTGATGGCGTTGGCCAAGCCACAAACATGTGCAGCCATGGCCAGTGCGTTGACAATCCTGAATCCAGAGGAAAATGAAAATCGAATGCACATTTCAGGAAAGCAGGGTGTGTGCCACCCTACTGCCTCATAGTGGAGCTACATCTCTGTAGCAGATCTGTATCTGATGACCAAGAACATTCGATGGCATGGGCCACCAAAGTCTGATCAGAAACTGCTGGTCAGCTGAATGATCAGATTGCTAGTTTGTCTCTCTGACCCAAAATACCCAGACAGAAACATTCTCCTCAGATCCTTCCACTGAGCCAGTCCAATTATGCAACTGGTTCCTAGAGTCCTCCCCCCCCCCACCCCGGGATGGGTTCTAGTAGTCTAGCAGGCGCAATGTATCCATACCTTCACCTCACACTAACAGGTGCTCTTCCTGTCAGCAGTGTTTGCCTTTGGGCCAAGTCTGAGGCACACCTGTCAAGACTGACACTTTTCTGAAGGGAGCTGCCTACAAACCTTATTGCAGGGCTCAGGTCCCTAATAGTCTCAGTTAGGACTTGAAGCTGTGCATACCCACCAATCAAATCCCGAATTCAGATAGTGTCTTTGCAATGGGAGTATTCAAAGGCCAGTAGAGGTCTAGAGCCAGTTGTGAAAGGATCTGCTCATTGTTCCAATGCAGATCTCTGGGCCTCTGCCATTCAGCATCTTACAGATGGTTTTCTGAATCCCAGAGTCCTGGCTTCCAGTCTAAACCCTTTCAGCTGCCAATTCTGGACCATTGAGGGTAGATATAGAGACCCTGCCCTGTGCTTAAAAACTTGTATCAGGGAGTATACTAAACTAAGTAGCTTAAAAGCTGTTTAGGGTGGACCATGTCTCTCTGGGCATGAAATAGGCAGGACAAGAAATAGGCAAGTAGTGAAATGGTATAGACCACAGGTGACATCTGGCAGAGCCTAAGTACAGAGGAATGGACTGTGACTTACCCATCAAGCATAAGTGTCTCATCTGTCCCATTATGGAAACTTGATGGATAAGTTGGGTGGGTATGGGCGACCTGAGTACTGCTTGAGTTCTGGGAAACAGCCTCGAGGTCCTTAAGACCAGGATCGCCTCCAGGGAGGGAACCAGGGCTCACCCACCCACTAACTTCTAAACAGAGTTGGGGCTGGCTACCCCTTATCAGCTTTGTCACATCTGGATATGAGTCTGGGGGCTGGTCTAAGTCCAACATAGTGACCTGAGGGCATGGGTACTGTGCTACAGACCACTCAGAAGGTAGAGTCTGGTCAGTGCTGTTGGTGTTTCTTGAAGGGACTCTTCAGCTCCAACTAAGCTCCTGAATGATGTAGGAGATCTGGAGGGCAGCATCACCTCCTAGGTATTTTTTCACAGATGATACACAATAGACAAAGGTCATAAGGCAGACATTTAAGGACAATGTCATCTCTTCCTTGAGGATTGGTGAGCATACTTCAGCTGAATAACAAAAGCCAGGTGCTGGGGAAGAACAACTGTCTGCTGGCTTCTTCGTGCTCCAGTCCCCTCCAGCTCTCAATCTGATGGTGTTCTAGGGAAGCCATGACTAAGTGGACCACCATTTTCCTGAAATATTGTGAATGGTATTATTCAGTTGACTCTAGGGTCTGATAATCTCATTTTTGCTTTAAGGAAGTACTGTCTACATATACACAAGTCTTGCTGTCACATTGCATTCTACATTTTATTTAATTGTGTTATTAAGAAAAAAACCATACATTAAACAGAGATGGTTGATAAGAGAAGCTAAGTTTCAGAGATGGCCAAATGAGGGGAAGAAATGTCCTCACATTTATAACGTGTGTGCTTTTAGAAAGCTAAACCACACAGCCAAAACATTCCCCATGGGGTGTAATCTTTGAGGCTTTATGAGAAGAGCCATGGGTTCATCTCTATTCTGAACATACCTGGATTTGCACAATGATAGGGACACCTGATCTGGCAGGTGGCTCTGGGTTTTATCCCATGCTTACCTTATTAGCAGCTTTCTGGGACAGATAGCTAGAATTGCACAACAGTTTCCTCCATCTCCCAGCTTGCTGGGCTGCTGGAAACGTGTATGAACACCAAGTTGCCATTGGACCATTTTTCGCTTTTGAAAGAGATGCTTCCAACCTGAGAGGTATTGGGAGTAACTTTTCAGCCACCTTTTCCAGATTATTAGGGATCTTTTCTGGAAGTGGTTACTAAGAAGTTTTATGAATGAATGAATATTATGCTTATCATATGCATAATAATCAAATGAATAGAAAAATCATAAGATTTTTCATTTGTTAAACATGGTTATACATGCTTTTAATCCCAGAGCTCCAGAGGCAGAGGCAGGTAGATCTCTGTGAGTTCATGCCCAGGCTGGTCTATAAAGAGAGTTCTAGGTCAGTCAAGGCTACATAGTGAGACCCTATCTCAAAACAAACAAAAACTAAACAAGAATGAGATTTTTCTTTGTTGAACCAATTGTGAGTTTCTAGAAGAAACCTGATTTCAGGAATGGAATGATGATGAAGCATTGTTCACCATCGAAAAGATGAGCAATGTTTTTAAGCTTGAGGACAACAAAACATGATGGCAGTAAATAAAGGTCGGCAACAACCGTTGGGAGTGTGACTTCTGTTGGTAGAAGGGGGAGGACCAATTAGGAGCTGTGCAGCTGTGAAACCACCTCCCTCATGAAGTCCCCCGAGCTTGTTGGTAAGCTCCAAGTTTGCAGGAAGTATCATAGTGACACTCTTAGGTCTGCTTAGGGTTCAGTAAGCATCGGCCTGTTTCCTGCTGCTATAGAAACATCTGATGGCATTAGGTCTCCTGGGCCACTTCAAGGAGAAGGACAGTAATGGCTCCTTGCTGGATGTTGTAGGCTTGAGTCATAAGAAATACTGTGGTGATAGAGTGGTGTGTCACCTGCCCCTTCTGTGAAGCCTGGAGACAAATTTTAGTTGAACATGAGCTTCCTATGTGGCCATCCATTCCTGTGTTCAAATCA